AAGTTATAATTTAGCGTGGTTTTCTCCGTAACTACCATGCCACTTTCCGCTTTAGAGTCATTCGACACGACTTGCCATGTGATATTGTACTACGAGACCCCTATGTCTCATATATCTCATACTCTCACACTCATACTCATATCCCATACTTTAATCTGCATTATAGCAGAAAGTTTAGCCAGACTTAGATTCAGCTATCGGAACACAATTTCTCTTCTCAATGACTCCCTAAACTGCAAAATACAATAGACGAGGCAGTGACAGAGACTTAAAATCCTGGATGTACCATCAGACATAGTAGAGTACTGCTGTCTCACAGATATTAAACAGTAGCCTTGTATTTCCTGTAATCAAAAGTTTTCCCCATTCCCCATGGAAAATTCACGCTGTACCGTCCCCGCTCATTTCCTATTCCTCCCGGTAGGCCAGCAGTCTCACGTCATTTCTTGCTGAAAGATATACTGTTGCCTAAGCCACAGGGCCTAAAATCTACTTTCGCCGATAAGTGCAATAGTGAAAGTGTAATCAATTTTCTCTTTTTGTCTTCTCAGGACTCTGTAAAGAAGCTCAACCGCATGACGGAAAACTTTGCATTACGGACACAGAGCGATGACGCGACTAAATCAAGTAACGCAGAGGACAGTGGACGCAACCGTGGCCCGTCTGATCACCAGGCGCGAGGGCAAACGGAAGTGGACATGAAAGAGGAGGAAGAGGAAGACATTGGCAAGCGGCGAAAGAGACTACGTGAAGCCAAACCTCAGAAATCCGGGCGAAGGTCACATACCATGAACTCAGAGCCCCCCAATTGACACCACCTCGTAAAGATTAATGCCAAGAACTACTTCGACTTATTTTTGTATTCCACATTTCTTCTAATTCCGTTACCGAACGTTCAACCGTCTTTGTGCATTTATCCAGTAAATAGTCGAATTTGTTTTTTTCCTGCTATTCCCACATGTGAACGTTCTTGTGTTGCACCATTTCTGCGTTTCCTATGTTCCGCATTGAATTGTTGTCTCCGTTCTGCACCATATATTGGGCGTACATCATTGAGTTTGCTCTCGAGTTTTGATGAATGCGCCTTCCTTGCGTCGGGCCCTTCGCTTTCGTTGTCGCCAAATCTAACCGTCAGGATGAAGGAACACCGATTCCTCAGTAAATTCTGACACTCGATAGTGTTCACGTCGATTATCAGTGCCTCAGCTAAGTGCTACTGCCACAGAAAAGCCGAATAATTGAAACGCCATGACACAGTAGAAATGAAAGCTAAACATAACACGAAGGCGGAATATTCCGTTGCAGGAGGTCGTATATCCAAACCAATATGAAACTGCCTCTTTATGTATACAAGTTCGCAAGACAGCGTAGACGAAAGTGAGGAAGACAGCAGAGGAAAGAACCCTGTTGACTGCTCACCATACATACCAGAAATAGGCAAGTTTCCTCTTTGGTCTTGGGTTTACTACCTAATTGCACCAAGGCAATTCCTGCGACACAGCCTGCTCCGCCGGAGTCTGTACAGTGTCAGCACCAGATTTCTCCATATAACTACCACTGGCCAAATGCCATCCTTGTCTATCGTTCGAAACAAAATAAAGTAGCCGTTGGGTATGTGCAATTCGTACGTGCCTGTCTCATTATACATCGTGATGTCAGTCTATCTGGCTGGCTGATAACGTATCTGACCTCGTACGCTGCAGGACTCCACCAGGACTGTTCCGGTGCGTACCTCGAAGACGCGTTTTTGATTCTTGTGAGCCGAGTCCGTTGCCTGCCTAGCAATAGCATCTTAAAGCGAACGTCGTATGCCCCGTTTGTGTGAACAACAGAGCATGCCTTTGCGACTTTCACCTTCGATCCAAATTGGTTGAAGTGACCGTAGTACCCAGTCTCCTGTTTCCTTTCACTTGTGCGCTCAGCCTTTACTAGGACTGGATACCACCAGTGCGCGGTGTTCTCATCCCCAAAAAATCGCCCGAACCGTATGTGCGAAAACAACCTAAATCCCTGTTCGCTGTTTCCAGGCGTACTGTTAACGTTTTTGAACCCCCTATGTTGAGGCTTGAGATTCTAGAGGAGAGTAGTTTGTGAGGACAATGTTCCGAGAAACGGTGTTCCTCTTGCTTACGTCGGATATGTTCTTTTGTTACGCTGCAAACGAGTGACAGGCAATATGGAGTCGAATTCCAAGGAACAAAATAAATTTGAGGTAGTTAGTTGGGTATTGCAAGAACAGTTAGTTTCCTTAGTAATGAGACGGTGATTGCTCTGTGCTGAGGAGGAATTTGAACGGTGGGCGTATTGCAATGCTTAGAAGGCGAATTTCGGCTAGGCGATTTATTCGGGCTAGAAGGAAAAATGAAGTGTTAAGGGACTGGTTGATTACCAACCAATGTTTATGATGGAATTCCTGTTCATCACATATCGGTTTTTTGGAGGGCAACTCTATTGATGGTTGGCCTT